TGTCTGATCTTTGTATGTTATCTCTAGGATTTAAAGATGGTTTCCTTTTTTCAATGTGTTTGGAAATATTAATCTTTGGATTGAGGTGGTAATTTTATTGATAGTTCCTGAGGGCTGATTATTTAACATCTGTTTAGAAGCAAGAAAAGAGCAGTTTTTTGAATCTCATACCAGATCTGGATCAAAAAGTCACTGCAAAAAGGAGCATTTTAACAAGAAATACTCCAATCATGGAAAATTTCCAAATAAAATTTCCCAATAATTATAACTGCTAGACATAAAAACAGATAAGTTATATTGAATTGGCACTCTGGGTGAAATCCTGAAGTGAAGAGGAACATTTTCACTGCCTTTAAGAATTTCAACATTTTTTGACCGATAAGAACCAATGACAGAATGGAGTTGGAGTATCAAAGAGATAGATAATGAAGGGTATCCTAAAGGTTTGAGTTGAAAAACACATCAGAAACAATGGCAAGTGTCTTAGCCTCAAGTCTGATGTGCTTTTCATAATCCTTTGGTGCTCAGTGCATCAGGAAAATCTACACTAGTAGTCAAGTTAGGAATAATACAGAGCAAAAGAGGCAATCCAGAAAAAATAAAATTTCAAACAGAAGCTGGGACTCCAGGAGAGGATACAGTCAGGCTATCCTGAAGAGAAAGCCAGAGGCAAGCAAAAGGGAATTATAACAATGATGAAAGTCATAGAAAGAAGGGAGAATGGGAAGGATTTTCTGCTTCCAAGGCAAACAAACAACCTAATTATTTACAACAGGACATTAATTGTCCATTAAACATAGGTGCTATGGAAAGTAAATATTCATCTTTTGGTGGCCCAAGAATGCATATCACTGACTGAAACATTTGTTTCTAATGAGGGATTGATAGTATCAGCTATAAGGAAAAAAGGTGTTTGAATGAAAATGTTTTTGTAGGGAGCAGTTTCACCACGCCAGTAATATATAACTTCTTATTTTCTTGGTCCTTTTATGCCTTCATGAAATCATCCTGTATTTTCTTAGTTAAACATATGGAGGAAAAAATACTAAACATTTTAACAAAATGTTCATCCGTGCTACAGAAGGTACTTTCAGGTATGATTCTCAGCTTGAGCTAAGACATGTATCTGCCCTGTTTCATAACATATTATACTCTAAATACTAGGAAAATTAAAGGGATGTTATTATACTGAAACTATATGTTTTACAGATAAATTGTTTATTTTAGAGTGTTTTTTTACTCTGTTCCTGTTCTGAATGAACATAATTTTGATATAACAGAAAAGAGGATAAAAACAAAATCACTAGAGTCATAAGAAGAATGCTGTCTTCTGTTTTACTTGACGAAGCATAGCTATTGAAGTTTCTTATTTATAATGAGATTATTTATCTTTTTTCTGTTCAGATGCTACCACCTTATGGTTGCATGCCATGGTAAAGACCGGGACAATATTCATAATCAATGAAGGATACACAGAAGTAGAGTGTACTCCAAGGAGAGCAGAGTAAAACGATAGAATAAAGTGCCCGGGAAAAATAGTCCCATAATTTTGGGGTGAACTTGTTTTCCTCCTGAAAAGGAGCTGAAATGAAAATTTATCAACAAAATCTGCATTGCATTTGATAGCCTGTTCAGCTGTCTACAGAGAGAAGGCCCAGTCCAGTAGATCTAGCAGCCAGAACTTCTAAAAATGGCATACTGCCAGAGTCTGAATGTAAATAAATTAAATTACTATCTACTAGCTCTATAGTTAACAGGATTGTTCCCAGACTTCATAAGTGCATACACAAAAAGAGACAATTGTGATAAAGGGTTAATATGCTGGGTGAATACTTGTTTATATCTCTATATTGTTAGCACCAGGGTGTTGATGAGCACATATTTATCCATAAGCCACTAATTTACTGCCACTTTGCCCATGGTGTTGGAGAACCTTATTACTTGCCAGTATCTGATTGGGAGAAGCTGACCAGAATTTTAACAGAATCATGAGAGCACTACAATGAGCTTCATGCTGCAGTGAACCTGTTGTCTAAGGCTGACACACAGCACATGTAGGTTTCTTAACTTTTGATACATATAGCATGTGCTCTAGCAGAGTTAATCACTGATGTGCAAATTCATTTAAAGGTGACCTGCAGGAGTATTGAAAATAACCTCCAAGGTTTAGGGATATATGCTGAGTACCCCAGGCATTTATCACAGTTTTAATATGAACTGTAACCATTTTTACTTGTAATACTTCCAGGATGTCTTCACTCACTGTAAATTGTTGGCTCCTTCTCAGCATGACCCACTGGCCTGCTACTGGACATGTCAAATGTTCTGTAGAGCCCTGAGGGAGGCTGTGGTTTGAACCATCCAGGTATGATAAAACTCCTTATTACAATGTTACAGTGGCTTCAAATGTTCTCCATTTCATGTAGATAGGAAATGGATGATACTAGAAAACCCAAACTACAACAACACAAAAAGCTCTGCATGTTAGAAACGTACACAGAGCTTTAGAAAAGAGATTTATTTAATGCTGTTAAACTAGCCCCATATTTTGCAAAGGGATCGTGTGGTGCATCAGCATCAACTGCTAAATGTATTACAAGGGGTCATCTCATATAGGAGCAGTTGCTATTATGCAGTTAGAATTCAGAGGGTTTTGAAAAGAAAATTAAAAGGGTAGTTGGGTAGAGAGAATTGAGTTTAAATGTAAATTTGCTATAACTTCTTTTGGAAGAATTTCTGCAGCATACGTTCCATGTTTCTAAATCTGACAAGTACTCGATAAAGTGGTTTGATTTTCCATTCCCATAGAGACTTTATTTTCATGCTGAGATGCTAAATTCTGCACCAGCTCAGTGTAATTATTTTAATGATTTATTAATTTTTTTCCACAAAATTTGTTAGGCAGTCATTATGTCATTTAATTTAGGATAGTTCATACAAGCAAGGATTTCCATGTCCATTTCACAGAAAAAAATACCCATTGCTTTTGCCGAGTGCTCACTTATTGCATTCCACATAGTTTTAACAGTAAAATGGCCTTGGTTAAATTTATTTTGTATTTGTCGCTTCACCCTCTGTTTGTCATACAAATTTAAATTGGTATCAGCTTTGAATTGCTGGCACACTTGCACACTCAAAATCTGCACCTCTTCCATTTCATAGCAAGGTAAAATAAGAAAATATTTCTGTTCACACTGGCTTCTTCCTTTCATCTCCTCAAGCTTAAAATTAATTTAGTATAAATTTAAATAAAGTGTCTTATTACAAAAAGCTTGGTGCATCCAAAAATTACCCATTTATAGTATCCTCAGGAAAGTCTTTGGATTTATCTCAGTGCTATATTATGAAGAACCCCCAAGAAATACATACAGGCTTCATCCACTGGGACCCTAAGCAGAAAGCAAATTAGCTCTTTATTTTGTTTGGATTTTTGTTAATCAAGAAAAATGCACTTAATTACTGTGACAGGAAGCAGTGCATGTGGAAACTGCACTGAGCCTGGAGCCAGATGTCATGCAGTCTAAGATAGCTTTAGTTTGTTGTGCTGCCTCTCTGTCAACAGAAGAGAACCTCCTCAATCACAGCTAGAACTTGTTACTTTATTCACATAGGAATTTCAGTAACTCACATAAGGGCAACTTATTTTTTTCATAGCTATAAATGTTTGTTGGGTTTTGATTCTAGTTTTTTTTTTCACATGGCCTTGTGGGATTTGGGATTGTTATGAAACCTGGATGAACTTAACACCTCTGAACTTAACACCTTTCAACCTCTCAATTTGTTTGCAACTGGCTGGTGAAAATTGCCAACTTTGATTCAACAGACAAGCATGATGTATGACTGAATGAAAACCCCTACATTTAGAGAAGGTGAATTAATACAAAGTGCAGAGAAGGACTCAGTCAAAACTGTTCATCTTGTTCCCCCTGGCTGCCCTGGGAATCACAGAAGTTCAGTAAGGATCAGTTGGATCAGCTTGGATCAGTTTGTGAAGATTTTACTACTATATTCTAGTCCATTGCTTTTGATAGTTCAAATATCTTAAGAATGCCTGCTATCATGCAAAAATAAGTACTCTTAGTCCTATTTTTATAATTAGCAGCTGAATTCTTGAGATTTCTTGTGGCACTGCTTTCTTAATTGGAGTCGGAAGTAGTATCAAGTAAAGTCTATACTGTATGGCAGTCTTTCACAGCTCAGTGGAATTTTATCAAGCCTCCAGACTTTAAGGAGAAGGTATAGATTTTGGATTGCTGTGGTGTTTGTTACATTGCAACAGTTCATAAAGCATTGCTGACTCCCAGATGCCAGCAAGGAAGAGAATGTTTGCTTTTCACAAGGAATGACCCAAGTCAGATTGTGTGTCAGCAGTGGGATTCAACAGCTGATTTTAAGGTTTCTTTCTATGTTAGTGGTTGGACTTGATGGTCTTTTCCAGCCTTAGTGATTCTATGATTCTTCTTCCTATCACTGCAGAGCCTTCAAATTTCAACCCTGGAATACTTCTCTGTGGATTGTCTGGTTTCATACATAGGCTGCTCTTGTGAATATATTCCACCAGTAATCAATGTCAGAAGGCAAATGAAGAAGGCTGGTCACCATATGTGCACATGGTTTCTCATATGCCCTTTTTTATTTTTCTCAACCTTTGTAAGGAACGCCAATTTAACTTCCATGTTTATGTTGTTTAGCCATCTATCCCAAATTCAGATCATCATTCAGTTATTACACCAGATCCCAACAGAGGGATTCATGACAAATGACGTGCAGCCCAGGCAGGGTGTGAAGGCTGTGGTGTGAGAGAAACACTGTGAGAGGCAGAAGATCCCAGTTCTCAGCTCTGTAAGACTCAGCACAAGCTGGGAAGCCACCACCTCACAGACAGGTGATAGGGTACCAGACAAGTGGCTAGGTGAAACCTAAATGCCTGTTCCTGGCTCCTACTGTGTTCCTGCTATCACAGTTTATCTGTAATTTAGGAAAGAAACATATAATCTTACCAATTGCCTTGTAAAAGTTGTCAGCTCCTTGTTTACACGGTTCCATGAAATAGATAGTGTTTCAAGGTTACTAGTGACTAGCTTTTGTTCTGAGGTGACAAGGAATGTGGCTTCTAATTAACTCATCATGGTCATCAAAATCAAATTCTTCAAATCCTTGGGACCTGCATTAAAGAGATATTGCCTCCAAGTATGATGGAGTAAGAAGAAACTAACATTATTTAATATATTGGAAATTCATAGGAAATAATGTGAAAATTGCCCCATTTTGACTGACAAAGTAAAAATATTACAATATTTCTCAAAATATATGTTCAGCAAAACTATAGTCATATTAATCTAAATTGTTATTTTTACATTAATAGAAAGGCTTCAAAGATGGATCTTTTACTAGGAATATGCCTAGAGTTATAGAAATAAAGTAAGTATTTTATATTTACAGTGCACAATAAAATGTAGTCAATGATGAAAGAATGCTATGAAATGGAGTCTAGAATAGCAGAAATAAAATCTGCAGAGAAAGATTTTCTGCTTTTTTCATCAGCAAAATTTTGTAATTACAAAGTTTGCTCCTATGTGTCTTATGGGTGAGAGTTTCCTTCACAGCACCAGGCTGAAGGTAATGCTTATTGAAAACTGATCTTGATGTATTTGTCTATTTTTTACTTTAATTTTAGAAACAAGTATACTCATGGTGTTTTTATTGAATCCCTTACAACTACATTGATAGGTAACAATAAAGCAAATTTTGGCTTAAAACCCCAGAGTAATGGCAATTAAAATGTATTGTGATGGTTTTGAAGAAATTTTAAAAGACATAAAATAAGCCTCCAAGGATTCTGGACTTTTTTCTCTAAAGCTGGTAATCACTCAACTTCTTGGCATGATATTATTTTGAAATTTTCAAAATATTTTGATTATCTCAAAACTAGTTCCTCTGCCCCTTCTTTGGGAAAGCTTGAAACTGTGTAACTTTTGCTCATAAGTAAAATTCTTTTTCAAGAATATAATTTCTCATAAAGTTGTAACTCTGATTTTTCCAGCCTGCTTTAAATACAAGATAATGCAAAGCTGGTGGTTTACATGGAGTTTCCAGAATGACAACCATGGCAGGATAGCATTTTGTGTGGAACCTCATGCTCAGAGGACTGAATTGGAAGATTGTGGCTAAAACTATTAGAGAAGGGCATAAGTCCTCAATGACATCAAACAAGTGGCAAAGGTAACATAAAATTGTCCAATAGCAGTCATTTCCTTGCTCGCCTTCTTTTTCCAAAATAGGGGTTTAGTGTAAAAAAAAAGTGTTGATGTTATTTATCAGTTCTAACTTGGGATTAGGAAAAGCAGCTGGGAATTTCATATGAAAGGTCCATATTTTTGCCTTTCCTGTGTATAGTGCTATTTGATATGGATGGACACAACTCCCATGATTCCTACACTCTCAAGTTAAAAAATGTAATATCATCCCCACTTGCAGATATACACACCAGTATAGAGGCACCCAGTTAAACTGCTCACTGACAAGGTGGCCGTGTCCTGGCACCTACTTAATTCAAACTGTGAAATCACAGCTTTATTGGCTGGCAGTCCTGCACAGTGCAGGTACTCTCAGCATTCTTCCAGCTTGCTCTGGTCACTAGCTCTGAGTTTAAAGCTCAAGAATAAAGGTGCTTCTTCATTTGATAATTTCATAAGGCAGACACTGTAAGTATTGCATTTTCTTGTAGAAACAAAACCACAGATTTGACTTGTTTATCCTATTGTATGAAAAATCATTCAATCCTGAAGCTGAAACAGAAAAATCTCATTGTATCAAGGATTTGTTTTATAAACTCAGTAGTAGCTCACTTTTATTATGCACAAAGTAATTATATATAATATATATGTATAAATTTGAGTTTTACTTTACCTTTATAATCAAGACGACTTTAACACTTACCTTCTTTCTACCTGCCCCCTTCCCCAAACACAAGTATTTTACTGTTCTTCTTCCATTCTGTCTGGTTGCCTTCCATACATTCTGCAATTCCTGCGTTTTACTAGAATATTTAATGATCCTAGAGGAAAATATTTACAGCAGAAAACAGTTCGTTATTCTGTAGCAGGGGTTTCTAGTGTACCCAGGGAGCTGCTGTGAGAACAAACCGCTCGCTCAGGCTTTTGGGCAGCAGCCCCGTGTTGGCGGCAGCGGCGGCACCGCCGCTCTCAATTGCGCAGTGCCCCCTAGGGACTGTGCCGCCGCCGGGGCGCTGTACGCTGCTCCTCCCCTTCCCCTTGCCTGACCTTGATGGAACTTCGAATTTCATCCTATTCCGGCTATAACGATAGGACTTGCTCTTTAACTCTCCTTCCTTTTTTTTTTTTTTTTTTTTTTTTTGTTTTTTTTTTGTTTTTTTTTTGTTATGGTTTTTGAAGTTAACTCTTCATTCTATGTATTTTCAGTGCATGCATATTCAGTTTTAGGTAAGAAGTTTTCTCTACAATATTTGAATTTGATGGCAATATTTTAACACATTCTTTTTCCAGTTTGGTATTTCTAGGAGATACATTTTCTTTTCAATTGTTTGTTAAAAAGGAGCTGTGTGAATTTCCTTCTCAGAGCCATGATTTGATCCGTGCTGGTAGAAAGAGACTGGAAACCGCAGTGCTCTGTACAGATGTCACATACCTGATGAGTGATTTCTTATACTTATTGATATGGTGGTTTCAGGGAAATAATAGTAATAATGAGAACAATAAGGACATGTTTTCTTTTCTGTGAGCTGAGATGTCCAAAGAAAATTTGTTCAGAGGAAAGAATTTTGCCTGAAGTATTTATGATCAAAACAGTTCGGAAATAAAAGATGGCAAAATGAGCAAAGGGCAGTAGGTTTTGAATAGGCTTCATCAGCAGAGGGGAGAGGTCATCTGGGAAGATTAGTTATAGGAGCTATTAAATCACCTCTGTGACACTGTTAGAAGAAGCTGCTTAACATAATCATGTGCAATCAGTAAAAATGCTGTTTATTACAGAGCAGTTTTGATTTTCATATTTGGTATTGTTATGTAAGATGGCTTAATATAAGGCCATACACATTTCCCCGGAAAAAAAATTACCAGCATTAATGATTTATGGTGTTTTCCTGACAACTTTTAAAGTAAAAAATTATGGGGAAATATCTCTCCAAGTCTATTTCCACTAATATATTTCTTAGAGACTTGCATAGTTGTTTTTTTTTTTTATACTGTAGTTTTAGATAGTTGAAACTGATACAGAGTTTATATATCAACTAGTCCTGCATCCTATACTTCTGTTTGAGTTTGATTATCCTACTTATTGACATAATCCCAACCATCTCTTTGAAGTGCTTATCATTTAGTGATAAGACTCCACAAAAAAAGATTTTCCTCTAATCCAGTTTCTCCAGTTTGGAATTAGATTTCTCTATGCATATTTTCCTAAGTGTAAAGTAGAGAATAATATCATCACTTATGTTTCTCATATATTTATGTCCATGGATTATCTCAGGATATACATACCAAAATTAAGTTTTGTGGATTTGGACATATCTTGGTTGCAAGATGTTAAAAGTTGACTGCCACATTTCAGGAGAACTAGATGGAAAATTTGAGGGTGATGGAATCTTTCCCGGGGTATTTTGTTGGGTTTTAAAAAAATATTTTATTTTTTAAAGTTTGTTAGCACATAATAGTATCTTGCAAGATACTATTATAATTTTTCCCTGAGTTTTCCTTCAGTCTAGATCCAAATCTTGTCAGAATGCATGTTTTTGTCCCATGAAGTACAACAGATTTCCAGATAAACTGAGTCAACAAGGGATGACAAAGTACTCTCAAATCAGTAAACGTAACTGAATCTTAACTGCTGTAATTCTGCTTTCAAAGTGATGCACAGTTGTGGGACCCAATATCTACTAGCAAGCTACCAAATTGCAGCAGATTATAGACAGGCTGTACTCTCGCTTTATTGTTTGCTATAAGTCTATCTTATCCATACGAAGTAAAATGAAATCACAAATATAGCGCTTTATTTTAAAAATTTTACTTCCATATTATCTCTCAGTTTGGCATAAATCAGAATACTCCTTGCATATTCTTTTACCTCAATTTTTGTGATTTGTTAGATGGCATTACCATTTGTTGGCTCTTTCTTTCATTTTCCCTGATAATCTGGCAACCAGAAAGAGCTAGGATGAGGTACAAATGCAAGTACATACTTTTGGAAACCATTCTAAAGCATAATATATTAAAATGTTGCATAATGAATCCTTGTTTGCCAGAAAAATATTCAGCCATGCCAGAAAATTATCTGTGAGGAATAATTCTAGCCCCTTCTTTCCTCCCCCTCTTCCCAATTTGTGTTGCTTGGAAGAGGAGAAGAAAAATGGCACAGATGCATGCAGTATTGCACAAAGAGTATATATGGACATTTCAGTCACTGATATTTCCCCATTTTCTGATGCTAATGTAAGATATGTTGGTTTTGCATTTGTAATTAAGATGAACAGATGGTGAAGACTTAGTTTAAAGTAATACTGTACATCCATTAAAATAATCTCTGCTGACAGTGATTCTTTACTATAGCAAGACTTAATTGCATATATAACATGTGTACATCAGAAAGAACTCTGTCTTTAGCCATTTGCTCCGTTAGGACAATAGTAAAACAGACGTCACCAAAACAGAATTTGTCCTGGACACTCCTAAGAGTAACAGATGTATCTCTGCTGACAATATTGCCTTGCTTTAATTAATGAACACTTTATGAATAAAAGAATACATAATTTCAGAAAATATGCAGGATTTCTTCTGAAAAAAAGAGCTCAAGTTTTGCAAAAGGGAGGTTCAGAAACATGACAGTAAAAATTTTAACAGATAAACTTGATGTTGCTTACACTATTTCTCTCAGGGAGTAGTACACATAATTTGAGTGTTCCTTGGCAGGCTTTATAAATGTGTGAATTTTTGAACTGGGTTTTTGTTTTAAATTAGGTTCATTGTGAAGTGCCTGTCTGAAGCAAGTCCTTAAGCCTCTGTGAAGCAAAAGCAGACCTCAGCATGTTTTCTTCTTTCCATAGAAATTATATAAAATGGCATTTTTCAAATTGTTCATATATAGGTTATATAAAAATATCATTGTGTTTCCACCTTAAGATCTATACTGCACAGGAAATGGAGCTTCAGGTTATGTCCAAAGTAGGTACCTATCCTTCACCTGCTGTACAGAGCAGCAACACGCTTTTTGAGCAGTAATACTTATTTTTCAAAAGCATAATTTGGTGGTTGTATAACTCAACCCCTTTTCTGTTTGCTTCTTGTTCTACCTGCCATCACCACATTGTACCTATTTTCCATGATAATGAAAACTAGCAAATTCTAAACTTTGAGGACATCATTTGGCAAATAATTCCTTCCTTTCCCCAAGCTTCTTTTGTAAGGACATATATTTTACTGTTGTTATGATTACCAAAAATTAAGTATAGGGTTTGATTAGCATTTCTGCAAGTTTTTTTAAACTAAAGTACATCTTCTATTGTGCCAGAACTATCAGCAAAATCACTATACAGTGGTTGAACATATCTTTACCGTGAAATACAGTTGTCCACACTAGTTTCACAAAATCTGTGAATCCTCCTTTTCTGTTTTGTTCTTTATCTGTTGAAGGCCTGGGCTCAATACTCTCTCCTCATCCAGAAGAATGTATTGAAGATTGTAGTGTGTCACACTTTGGTTTAAATTCCTCAGTTTTTGGTGTTTTTTTTTTTCTATTAAAATTCTGCATTGTTTAAAAATATTTAGATATTAATTGAAGCAAGGACTCGAACCCTGAGGCCCCATTTTCCACAGGAGCACCACAAACCTCATGTTACTGAGTAATTTTCACTGTGCCTCAGAATATTTAAGTGTATTAAACCAACTGGAATAGCACCAGCAGGAGAGATTGAGAGAGTCTTTATCCTAGAATATGAAACGTCTGTAAATTGTAGTTAAATATTTTTCCAGGAGATGTGGTTCAAAACCCCTCAGGCAAAAGAAAAAGAATTGAACCAACCTTTCTTCTATTCAAGATGGGCTGTAGGGTAAAGCAGGAGAGAGGTACTGCTTTCTTTTAATCAATACATTTGCCTTCTCTAGAATGTCTGAAGTTGAAATTAAATATTTCTCTTCCATGTGTGTACCTCCTTCCCATCCCACAGCTAAAACTATTTTAAAATAATTTGAGCAGAAATTTGTGGTTGGGAAAGAATATGGTTTGACAGGCACACTGAGAAAGTCTTTCATTTGCATAGATTTCATTCTGGTAACAGAGTTAGACCAAATAATTCTGTAAATACAGCTGAGGTATATGGGTAGTGCTCACTGAAAAAGGAAATAAAAAAGGGAAGGAGTGAGACAGACTGGGACTCAAGGGAACACGAAAGGGCTGCAAGTTTTACAAAACATTCATTTGTCTAATTTACCCAACATAATAAAGAAAGTATTGATTTATTTGGGGAGTTGGCAGAAATCATTGATTAGAGGAGTAGTATATTTACTGAATATATGATGGGTAATGTTTTTGAATGGATATAGAAAATATATCTCCAAAACTGGAATGATCCAGTCATAAGTCATAGGATGCAGAGCACAAAACACCATCAGACTAACATACTGAGAAAGGCTTTAAACAATAACTGAGTAAATCTTGGAAGAATTCCAAAGAAACCGGGAACAGAAAAGGAACTACATGCACAATAATGGGGTTTAGACAATAGAGATAGTGCAGCAGACATTTGTGAATGGAGTATTAGCTCTTTAATTATAATAATTACCTAAGTTTAAGGTCAAGGCACCTGTGCATTGCTGTCTGTGAGAAACTGATTAAAAAATTAGAAGTAGCATTTAATCTCCGTGATACTATTTCCAAAAATTCTCATAGAAATTTGGATAATGACAAGATTATTTCTTATTATTTGTACTGTATCTCGAGACATTGACTGAGATGGGTCCCATGTCACCACCCTGATATCGTTCATATCAAGATTGACTCTCTTACCACTTGAAACAAAACGTAAAATGGAAATTCTCCACAGGGAGGAAAACCATGAAAAAGGAAGACTCGCATCTTATTTTATTCTGCTTTCCCATTCATGCTGAACATAGAAATGAAAGGCATCATTTTGTTCCCTTTAGTAACTCAGAAAAGTCTATTCCTGGTCTTGGAAATTAAATTTTTAGCTAATCCGTTGGTATAACCTCAGGTTTGCTGCAAGGGAACCCTATGTGAGAAGGGGTGAAGGTGGATCTTGTCACCTGGACATGGATGGAGTACAGAGTTTTGCAAAGTATTTCTGTCTGGAAACAGCACTACTCCCATCATCCCAGTTAGAATCATGGCTGTTGGAGGCTCTGTCCTGATTTCTGAGCAGGAAAATGCAACAGTGTGAGTAGTTTATGCTTTGGGGACCCCACATGCAGCCGGTGTGGGACACCAGGGCTGGCCAGCAGCGCTTGTGCCACACAGCTCCGTGCTTTGCTCGCTGCCTGCCACGTTGGGCAACTTCCAATCTGAAAAAGAGCAGGCAGAGATCACTGAGGTGCATACACAGAGAGAAATTCTGCCTTTCCCTTCCCTCTCCTTCCCCAAGGTATTTGGAGGGGGATTGCAGGTAGCAGAAGAAAGCCAGTCCCAATAGGAACAGATACCAGCATTTTTTATTGAGAGCACGGTTAGAGGAGATTCGAGTGAGGAACGGGTGTCAGGTTGAGGGAACCAGGGAATAGAAGAGACAGAAGAAGGGATAAAACAAAGAAAATAAGGAAATATGAGAGGTGATGGAGTCAAGGCATGGAGATGTGTTATATAGGAAGACATTTACTAAAAGCTTATAGAGATGATAAACATAAGGTTATTTCTAAAAAGAAGGGTCAAGTGCATGAAAAGAAGTCATAGGAGAGGGCAAGAGGAAACCTGGAAAAAAGACTGAAAAAGTAAATGTGACATTTTGGAAGTGAATTCCTGTAATTTGTTATAAGTATTGATCTGCAATGCTATTTCTGACAGAAGAATATTTCCATCCCAGTAAAAATTTAAAATTTTTATAGGGCTTTTAAAATTAGTAATTTCTAGTAAAACACATATGGAGATTTCAGTGTACATTTTTATTTTAGAAAACGGTCATTATTTTAAAATTTTCATTCACAGTTTCTTGACTTTCTCTCTTTTTGCTACCTCGTCCCTTTTTCTTTTCTCTCATTCTAACTCAAATCTGCACCATCTTCAATAAAGAAGTGTATTCTTCTGTCAGAAGGAATTTTGAGTCTAAAAATGTCAGAAATGAAATGCACCTGACAAGAAGGAAGGAACTGCTTTTGCAAAAGGTCACACAAAAGAATAAAAAAATACAGAGTAAAACAAATGCAGTAGTATTTTCTGGTGAAAAAAAATAAATGTTATGTCCAGAAAAACTTCACTGGGAAACAAAGATGTTTTCTAGTTTATGTTTCTCATATTTCTGAGTGAAAATAAAATATTGAAAGGATATGTTAAAAAAAAAAAACAACCTTTGGATCCCTTTCTGACCCTGAAGCAAGTGTCAGGCTATCATTGCAGAGGGAGATGTTTTCTCTCCAGCTGTGGCCTGTGGTTGATAACCAGAAGACCTTTTACATTTCAGCTGTAAGTGCTAAAGATGTCATAAAAGAAACAGAATTAATGTTTTTTCACCATTGTACATGCTCACCCCCTTTTGTGCTTTCACTGTTTCAGGGGTCATTGTTTACATTCACATTTGAGGTAAAATCCACTAGAGATGATCACTGAAAAAAGAAATTCACAGAAGATGAATTGAGAAAATGAGGTGCCTGTGGTGAAATTCTGGGTAAAAGCACAAAATTAACTGTCATCCAAGCCAAAGAAGGTGAGTAACTCCAAGTCAGTACCACCATCACTCTGATTGAAGTAGGGAAAGAACATTGAAAGAGCCTGTTCTAGGTGAGAACACGCTTAAAGATGAGAAAAATGGTTAGAAGATGAGAGGATGGAAAGCTTTTAGTGAATCAAAAGCACCTGTTAACAATAAATAAATAAATAAAAGTGAAGAAGAAGAGCCCTTCTTCGTTTTCTTGAACATTTTGGTCAGATAAAACCAAGTCTTGCAGTATCATTTGACAGTATCTTATGAGAAGGAATGCGATAATGTTAAAATATGGCAGGAAAGCAGTAATATTTCATGGTTAGAATATTGTTACAATGCAAGCTGAGACCATGGGTGATTGTTTTCAATAGGATTAAAACCTGAAAGTTTGACTAGAGCAGAAAACTAAAAATGAAGCTCTCTAGGCTAATTTGTTTTATAATATCATCTGAAAACTTCAAGAGGGAATGTTCTGTAAGTTAATATGCAATCATATTTAGAAGCAGTTGCTGTTTTGGAAAGCTTGCAGTTTAAAAACACAAGTAAAAGGACAGGAGGGAGAGCAGAAAAGGAAGCTAGTATACTTTCCAGCAAAAGTTTATTCTGGGAATTATTAAGAAAATATGATTCTAAAAGAAGCTTCACAATATCTCAGGCTATCTGGAGACGTTGGGAAAACGTCACTGGAAAACTAATCAATGTGTCTTGCATAGAACCTGGTTTTGTAAAGTGCCTGGACTGTATTATCTTTAAGGTTGCTTCCAGCAGTTTTTTGACTGGGGGAAAAAAGGAGTGCTGATCTTCTGACTCCAGGCTACCCAATATCTTTCGCACTGACTTTTCAGGGGAAATAATGTGAAATTTTGGCTGTCATTGCAGTTGCACTGTGAACAGCTTCTCCTCCATTGGTATGCAGCTATTTTCTGAGACAGTCCGATTCATTTAAATATGCAAATAATTTCTACCAGAAGCAAGAACATATTCATAATACGGCCCTTAGCTTTGGGGTTGGGGTGAGGGAGGGGTGGGGATTCTGCCCTTCTGTGATTTTTTTCTTTCACCTAAGAATTTAATTTGGAAGGCTCTTATATGGCAGAATTTACTTAATTCTGTAGAGTGCTGTGAGAGTCCAAAGTCAGAAGTGCTAAAACCTTTACAAGGTTTTCTTCCCCACTAATTAACCTCCCAGTGATAAGATGGGAATTTGTAGAATAGGCTGACAGTTCTATGTAACGATCTTATATATTGTAGATGAGAATATTTGTACTTTCTGGTGATATTTGCAGTTTACTCAAGGCAAAGTAGAGAGTATCATTCTTTCTGCTGGCATAGAATTACAAGGGATTAGCAAGGCAGATTTGAGAGGGAATGGCTGCAAATTTTTTCATTGACAGAACTTGTCAACAGTTAAAGGTGAGAAAGGACAATAAGTGGGAATGATGAAAGCTTTTTCCTTTTTATCCATTTTAAAATTGACAAATAGCTTCACCAGGCAGAAACACAGCTGAATGAATTGTAATAAACACAGTGTTTTGGTAAATTATCTTTGTTAGTGAGGAAAAATATTGATTTATTTTTTTATGTGCAGAATCTGGTTATAGAATGATTCGTAAAAATCATCCTTTTAAACCTTGTACAAGAGTAAGATAGAGAAACTCCACTTCCAGACACAGTGTTTCAGTCTCTTTTTAGTTCTGAAGAGTAAGCTTGAAGGGCAGAATGGTAAAATCATGTTCTTACTGATTTTGAAGGGTACTTAAGAGAAACTCCCTTAGCTTCAAGTGGGGTAAAAAGAAAAGGTGTGTGTTTATGTAAGTCAATTTAGCCCCTGACTTTCTGCAGTAGCTCACCAGAGTAGTGAAGCTAATGGCAAAAGGTTCTGTAGACCTGAGCAAGGCACCTTTCTGCAGGGCAAAGGAAGAGGTTAGATGTTTTTGGAAACTTTAATTAAACTTTGTGTAAGTGATGCCAGAAAGCTACCTGAGTTGGGTGCTGTTCTCTGTATCTATTGTTATGCTTTCCAAATATACTGAAAAAATATTTTAATTATCTTAATTCTCATCTCTGAGTTCCAACATACCTGCAATGTTGTTTCCAAAGTAACAGGCCCAAGCACACTCCTAGCATACTTCTGGAAGTTGTAGGATATAATTTGGCAAAATTAATAATGACAGATTTGACACTTGGATGAAGTAGAGAGAATTGAACACAATCACCTCTTAGTGTATTACGGGCAGTAATAAAAATACTCTTCTATGAAGTGGGCTGATACATGCTACTAGTTCTACCTTGTTAGTGTAAATGCACTGAATCAGACTGAGTTATATAAGTGTAAAAGCAGCATAAAGGAGAAAAATAAATCTAGAGTATTCTGAAAGGGCATGAAATCTCATTTATGGTCCTGTGCTGCTGAAAGCAACTCAAACACTTATTGCACAGTGTTTCTGTAAACGTTTTGGGCCTGTGAGAATGCCCTTCCCTGGATTTTAGCATGGAGCAAAACTTCACAGGTTTGTTTTTTTTTTTTCCTCCTCTGGAGACTCAAGGGAAAAAAAATGTTACCTTGGCTTGAGGTGGCTCTGTTTACACTCATCAGATTTATTTTGCCAATTAGAATCATGGTGAGAGCCACTATGAGATGATGCTGAAAAGAGTGTTCCGTAAAGATGCTTCACCTATTTGTTTCAATTCTCTCAGCAGGTGTTTAGTTGTAAAACAGTAATTTAACATATAGAGTAACCTAGAATCTCTACCAGATGCTTATTCACCTATGCTGTTGGCTTAAATGAAAATACAGATGACTGGACCAAACTTGATGTTTGTAATGTCATTAGTCATGGGAATAAATGGGATTCTTCATGGTTTGTTTTCCTTTAAAAATAGAAGGAAATAAAATTCAGATGAGTTAACATTGGAGGCATAGAATTTCCTGTATGTTCCTAGAAGTAATTTCTTATAAAATTGTTCATGTTTTTGAGTAACATATGGTCTTTAAGACCCTGATTAATTAAAAAAGAATGTAAGCATAGCCTGTTTCATGTGGTTTTAAGCATAATCCCATGCTCTACAATTTTTTCAAAATACTTCCTCAATTTTTTCAGCCTGCTTTAAGTCATTTTTCAAACATTTTTTTATTATCTCTGCTCTGCAGTTGGACTTTTTTTTTTTTCAGATTAATTCCTTGATTTGCAATATGTCATAGTGTCAGGCACCCACTCAAACCAAGTAATGCAGGATTTGTAACAAGTAGTGCAGTAACATTCAGGATAGAGCACACTTGACTAACAGCCAATGTCTGATACACTTCCCTGTGTTGTGCTGGGATGAGCAGAGGTAGCGAGAACCAAACCTTCACAGCCTCAGCAGCTTCAGCTCAGGTACCAAGGAAAAGTTACTTGGCAGCAGTTCACAAATGGGGGAAAAGCTCTTGCAAAATAAAATGAGAAGCATGTGTGCCTTAAGGAGTGTGTTTCTTTGTCTTTCAGCAATTCTTTCTTCAATTCTCATCTGCTTCAAATATATTTTGTATATTCAGGTTTTGCTGTCTGACAAATTCTGTTCTATAACTAGTAGAAATTGCATATCTGCAGCAAATGTCTCAGGTTTTTGCACTTATGGCTGTGTAAGATTTTCCCTATTTTTCTTCTCCCTTGTTCTACTTCATATTTTGGCATTTATATGTCTCATCTTTTTGATATACAATATATTTCCATGGTGCATTTGTGTGTTTGTGCACTTTGTGAAATTTCATTTCAGCTGTGTTACAATATGCATGCTGTGTATATTGTAGAGTGGGAATCTATTGTCCTGCTTTTGTCATTTGATCTTGATTTCATTCCTTTCCAAGATAGTGTAACTTCCATGTTTTGACCTTCCACCCCCTTTCAACATTTCTCCAGAGAACTGATCAATACCTGCTGCTTTCCCTTTATTCAGATGATGGATAGTTTTGGATAACTCTGTAATCTTTTCTCTCCTGTTCACCATCAGATTCTCCAAGCTCTGACCTTCATACAGGAATTCTTCAATGGCATTCAGGAGCCGTGCCTCTTTCCAAATGTTAAAGAAAGTTCAGTGAGCTTCTCTTGTTATTTATTTAGATTTCCTGAAATAGAGGAAGCGAAACATTTGAGTTCTGACCTCTTGTAGGATTCCATAAAGCTTCACCAGCTGAGTGGCATTTGATCCCCTTCTCTGTTTCTGTAATCTGTACTTGACCCAGTTCTAAGTGTGATGCAGCACTTTCCAACGGGTTAGTTTCATGTGACTGAACGTTAAAGTATTTACACAGCAATGCCTGAGGGACAAAATAAGGTATTTACTGCTAAAAGAATTTAAGTCTGGTGTTGAAGCTGCTTTCTGATTCTCTGAAGTGACTCACACAGGGCTAGAGATGAGATTTCTTTTTTCTTCAGAAAGCCTCTCCCTTTTAGTCTGAAGATTCAAGAAGAAAAGCAGATCTGTTTTTGCCACAAAGTAAGGCAGAATCATGACTAAAATGGAAGATAGACTACACCTACTTGTGCTTAAAGTTAGGACCAGCACTATTTTGAACAGAAGGAAAGAGAAATAATGAGAAGTTCCTATTTTTTGAGGAAGTGGGCACTGGCCAGATGATTGTAAATCTGAATGCAATGGTATCCAGCTTCCAGCAGAGAGGCAGCTGGAATTGCCTAGGCACAAGGTGGTAACCAGGAGGAACTGACAAACCTGAAAATCGATTTTAAATGAGCACCAAACCTCCATAATAACTTTGAGAACACTCTCTATAACATAATTTTGAATTGCCTGTTACAATGTCTTGTGGGTTTGTTTGGCTTTTTTCATTTTAGATCTATGTAATATGCATTAATACTTAGATCTGTCCCTTTCTATTGTTTCTCCTTACTCTGTGCATTATGTATATTTGTATCCAGCTGTGTACATGCTTGGGTGCATCATGGATTGGTCTGTATAGCAGAGTCATGAAGTATTTATGACTAGATCTTAGTCTCAGATGAATA